TCCCAGTTTTATTTACACAATAAAAATTTCTTGGATCATATACTCCTTTGGACAAAATTTTTCTTGCAAAAGACTAGAAAGCTGTTAAGCACGAGTTGAGGGGAGAATGTTAGATGGTATTGCCTAGTTGACATCTGGTTGGGAAACACTTGGTACAGCCTGATGTCCATGTAGGACTCTGCTCCTGCTTCCAAAATGTTTATACTGCATTGTATGCAGGTCACACTGTTCATGCACGACAGGGAGAGAAAGAGAATAAGAAGGATGGTGCGCTGAGAATGAAGACATTCCAAGATTTTAACCTTTTTGCCCCATTACATAATAATTTATTTCCAAAAAGCATCCCTGCTGTAGAATCTGGTGGGTGCAAGCCGACCAGTTTTTAAGCAAAGGAAGCCTAAAACAGGGAGGAGCCAAATACCCTTCATTGTATGCCACTCCCATCCTCTTTGTCATAACCCTTCCGAGGAAAGGGAGGAATTTCAATATCCATGCCCTGTCTGCCATCCACATGTTAAACATGTTAAGACATAAAAGCAGTCTTTTCATCTGTCTGATCTCTCTGGAGTCTTCATTAGAGTTCTCGGTCCATTTCTGATGGTCTGCTTTAAAGGATTAAAAAAACAAACCAACCATGTTTCAGAAGGTAGCAAGACAACAATGTAAGGCACAGGGAACTGAAGTGGTGGTAACATTTTGTTTTGTTCATGAGAAAATACTAGAATCCAGTATTATTTAGCTTTGAGTGAGGTATTTAAAGGGTTGACAGCAGTCTCAAATGTTTGGAGAAGGAAATTTTTGCAACCAGGTTTAAATCTCTTCTGCAGACCAGGGAAAAGGAAGTGGGTTTACATTTTAGCAAGAGGTAGAAAGAAAAATTGTTAAAAGTCAGAAGTGTTAGGGATCAGAAAAATCAGAGATGAGAAATGCTTTGGATAAGTCATCTGGTCTGTTTCCTTGCTCTCAGTAGTTACGACTGCCTGCTTTGACAGGCACTAGTTATCTTGGCAGAGATATGCTCTTGGGTCAGATCTGTACAGATAAATCGTAATGGTTGTTAACTCAGTGCATGCAAATTCACGTCAACAGCCTATATTCAGTCAACACCGGAGATGTGTGCAGTGCCAATGATTACAAAATCAATGTGAGATATAACCGCTGCTTTAAAAAGTTTATCACTAACCATAAATAAAACTCAAGACCAGGGTGGCTCTTCACCTACTTTGCTCATATAATCGTTACCTTTGCAAAGACTAATAATAGCTAATATCTATTGTGCACTTATGTGCCTGCCATTTTATTACATTAACTCATTTAATGCTCATAAAAACATTATAAAATAGGAATTATTACTCTCAGATTACAAATGAAGAAACCAAGACTCTAGACGTTAAGCCATCTGACTGTGATTTTAACTCGTAGAGATACTGTTTCTTGATCTTGGGGCCTGAGAAAAGACCTGTGAGGAATCTGGTCCATCCTCACATTTTACAATGAGGAAATGGAGACCAGCAAAGGTAAGCAGCCTCTTACTCAAGATCACAACCTTTTCCCAGGGAAGGTCACATGAAGTCTTGTCCTAAGGTGGGCTATGTAATAATAAGAGCAGGAGGAGATAAGCTTCTGGGTCTTGATTTTGTTTTGTCCTCTAAGAACCAGGAAGATAACTGAAATTCTCCGAAAGAGCATGCTGCAAGGAGAGTGCTGCAGCCGGTGTCCTGGCCTTGGGACAGCCCCCCAGGACAAGTCAGGAACTGTGGCCACGGGGATCCTTCCACCTCTCTGCAGGCCCAGCTCAGGGATTGTGGGGGTGAAAAACTGAGCTGGTCTGAATTTTGGGACTACCACCTACTAGCTCTGGGACCTTGAGCAACTCTCTCACCTTCAGATTCTCATTTGTAGAACTGAGTTTTTACGAGGGTTATTATGAGGGCTAGACAGCAAATATAGGACAAATGGTAAATATTAATAAGAGAAACAAATGGCTTCTGAGATCCTTCATAATTCCAATTCCAATTTATCTTACTGCTTCTCAAAAGTCAGCAGTGATGCTGGGAATTTCTTCCAAGTACCCCCATGGCTTCAAAAGACACTTCATTAGCAAAGAATGTTTGAAGACTTGATGGGGTTTTTAGTCAAGGACCTAGAAGCAAGGACTACTCCATCTGTAGGATTAGAAATCTTTTCACTTGTAAGACCTATTTGGTGTTCTCTGGATATAGTAATGCTATGATTACCATATTCAACAATTTATAAAGCACAAGCCAAGTATATTCCTTGCCTGTTTAATAATGTCTTGGTATCAGCCTTTTAATGGTGTCTATCAGCCCTGAAAATATAAGTGAAATAACTTAAAGCAGTAGTTTAAGCTTTTGAGTGTTCAGAATCATCAGGGAATCTTGTGAAATATGTACATTTCTGGGTCCAGATCTCAGGCAGCACGGTCAGGAAATCTGCATTTTCATCAGCACCTCCAGCCTTGTTCTGAAGCTTATGGTCCTCAGAACATACCTTGAGAAAGGCTGTTCTAAGGGCTCCCTGTCCAGCTACTCTTTCCAGATGCTTTCCAGGAAAAACCCAACAAATGAATGTGCTTCATTCTGCAGTAGCAGCAAAGCAACAATAGTTGCTCTTGAATTATGACAGACTTCTCCTCCTAATCTATATGCTTGAAGGATACAGTTTCATTTGATCCAATCATATTATGCTCTATAAAAACATTCAGATTCATAAGTTAGCTTGGGATAGGGAAAAGTCTGGACTGATCGCCCTCACCAGCTCTGATCTCTAGGCTGTGATTGATTTAGCTCTCTAGCCAACAAGGAATTTGTTCTTTGGCATGAGAGAGAGGAAACTAAAAAGAAGAGGAATGAGTAAAGGAAGTTGATAATAGATGGTTTGCACCCATCTAAAATGTGGGCTTGGAAAAAAGCTGTCCCAAGAGAACTGAACTAAGCACTCTCCCTACACATCTGAAGATTCATATCAGGGTCTAAACCACGTATGGTGGGGGGGCTTAATTAGAAACTCCTGGACCAGGAGTTTCACAGACTCATGCATGGGCCAATGGCCACTTTATTATCTGGGCTTCAGCAAAATGAGATAATAGCTAGCATCCAAAAACATTTGGGTTTAAAAAAGGAAAAAAATAATTATCTGGTGCTTTAAAAAAATCCCTGCTTTTAAGCACAGCATATCACTGTTGTTTTCGAGTTTAAATATTAAGGAACACATTTTGTTAATCATTAAAACAATAGTGATTGATTTAGGGGGCTTGGTGAACATTTAATCTGTCCTTACTCCAGGCAGTGTACTGAAGGAGCACACTGCTTAGTGCCCCAGGATGGACATTAGGTAACTATTTAATGGAGTTTCAATTCTGTGTTGTTATTATTAATAATTAATGTAATTTTGATTATGTTGGAGGCTGGAGGTATACTGTCAGTCATCCATTCCAGGTGGTGGCACTGCCCTACCCTGTTTAATCAGAAGTTATTAGAGGAGCTGAGCTCAGCAGTGATTTAAGTGAAAGAAGGTTGATGTTCAATAAAATTTCAATTAAAAATTTAAATCATTTTCAAATTAAAAAGTGTCATGGAAATTATCTGGCGTAATTCTTTCATTCTGCCGATGAGAAAACTGAGGCCCATGAGAATGAAAGGACTTGCCCAAAGCCACTCAGCTTGGCTCTCTTGTTTGATGCATTACTGGTCTAAAAACCTTACAGGCCTAACAGAAGGGATGGCAGGAGGCCGGGGCCCTGCTCCCACAGTTGTTTCTCTGATCTCGTGCACTTCCCACCCTTTGTAATCTGTGTTCCACACAGGAAGTAGTTCCTGTTTTCTAAATACTGGAGGTGTGTGAAGGTGATGTTTTTATAGAAGGGATACCCTGGACCAATATCCTTTTAAGTAAAGACCTAAATGCTCTGCGTGAGACAGTGAAGTGCAATGTCTATCCCAGGGTAAGAAATCCAGGACAGGAAATGCTCCATCCTTTAGCATTCCCCGGGCTACCCTACCTGGTGCTCAGGGTGGTGACCCTCAGCCCCACCCTGCCCTGCGGCAGTAAGTAGCTCAGGACTCCAGAGCAGAGGCTGTGATTTACTTCAAGGCTCCAGGAAGGTCCCTTTAACCTGGCTGTCCTTCCCCTTCCACGTTTGTAAAACAGAGATGATGCTATCTTTCTCATGCTCCATCAGAGGCACTGTGTGAAATTAGCTCCTGTGTGGGAAGGTTTTAAAGCCACATATTCCACCTCCCTGCTAATATGATTAATAGCACTTTCTTGTAGGAATGGGCCAACTCCTCATCCCCCTTCCTCCTTTAAAAACAGACCAAAGGGTATCTTTTCTTGTCTCCTTGTGGCCAGAAAGGTTGTTGCTTCTGTGGTTGTTACCTCCTTAGAAGGTCAGTGTGCTGAGGTTCAGGATTCCTAGGTGCCCACAAACAACAACGAAAATCAAAAACAATAACAAAAATAACTGCTGTGGCAGTCCGTAAGAGTACTTCTGAGTTATAAGCAGACTTTTCGGACTGCAAAAGCGTGGCCCCAGCCTGTCTCTAAGCCACCTCTATCCTCAAAAGGGTTAGGTCTGAAGAGGGGGGGTGGGGGTGGGGAAGGAGACCGTTTATTGGGGCTGACTTTCTGAGGGTCATCACCAAGGCTTTCCACAAGAAGCATTTTTAAAAATGTTTTGGAAGGAAAGTCATCTTTTAATAGCCAAAAAGTTACGTCTTTTAGGCACACAGCTCTGCGCACAGCCTGTTTCTCAACGTTTGAAAATCCTTTAACAGTTTATGGAAGGCCTCCCTTTAAACCAATCCAACAGCTCCTTTCTCCATAACCTGATTTTAGAGGTGTTTCATTATCTCTAATTACTCGGGGTAAATGGTGATTACTCAGTGTTTTAATCATCAGTTTGGGCAGCAGTTACTCTAAACGCAGGGAAGCCCAGACTCCCATGGGTATTTTTGGAAGGTACGGCGACTAGTCGGTGCATGCTTTCTAGTACCTCTGCACGTGGTCCCCAGGTGAGCCCCGGCCGCTTCTCTGAGCTGGAGGCAGCGGCGTCCCAGCCAGGGCGGCAGCTGCGGACTCTGGCGCTGCCCGGGTTTCCGGGACCAGGGCCTGCGAGGCGAGGCCCGGCGGCTGGATGGGAGGATGTGGGCGGGGCTCCCATCCCAGAAAGGGAGGCGAGCGAGGGAGGAGGGAAGAAGGGAGGGGCTGCCGGGGAAGAGGAGGAGGAAGGAAAGAAAGAAAGAGAGAGGGAAGAGGAGGAAGAAGATGCAAGAAGGCAGAGGAGGAGGGAGGGAGGGAAGAGGAGCGGAGCTCCGCCCGGAAGCTAGGTGAGTTTGGCATCTGAGCCGAGGGACGTGAGCCTGCGACGCCGCTGCTGATCCGGGCTGAGTGTCTCGCCTCTCTCCCTGATGGGATTCCCGTCCGCGCCGTCTCGAGCCTGCTGCGCCCCAGTCCTCGGCCCTCGCCCAGGTTCACTGCAGCCGTTCAGAGGTCCCAAGGAGCTGCTGCTGGCGAGCCCGCTTCTTCAGGGACCTATGGTGAGCGAGGCTACCTGGCGAGGGGCGGAGGGGAGCTAGGGCGCATCTCTGAGGAGAGAGACAAGGGGCTCTGGCTGTGGCCGAGGCAAAAGGTGGCCTTCCCCTCTCTGTCCCCCCCCCCCCAATCGTAGTGCTAGAGGTAGGGATGCTGGCACTGAAAGACACTTCCACGTACGCTACTGCCTCTACCCAGACCACTTTCTCGGTCCCGTGACCCCGGGGAGATTTCCACCTTTGGTAGGTTCGGGGCAGGAGAGGAGAAAAGAGAAATCTTTATTTGAAGGTCATTAGGAAAGACTGTGGGGTCTTGAGTGGAATACGTTGCCCGTGGACTAGTATTTGTGATCCCCAGATGGACAGGGCCAGGGGAGAAAAGGGAGTCAGGCTGTGAGGTCCGGAGAGAGTGAGGGGGCTGAGGCACGGCCAGGTGGAGAGAGAACACCTAACCAGGGCCAGTTCTTCGGTGGAGAGCGCAGTTCTTCTGCTTCTGGAGCGTGCGCACCACCGGAGAGGCTGCGTCTAGAGTGTCACCGGACCCGGCCACCAGCAGGCGAAAGCCCCCGAGAGCTGGTGGACCACCGCTGCCCAACACAACTCCACGAGCTATTTTCATTGACTTGAAGCATCCAAGGAGCGTCTCCCTCTATTATTTCATGGTGTCGGTCTGTAGGGATGATGGCCGGGATGCTAGCTGATCCGGGACACGACTTCCTGCGGTGTTTGCGTTCTTCAGGGAGTCCCTGGCGAGACGCACAGCGGACGCGCGGCTCTTACTGGTCCTCCTGTCCCGGAGCCGACGGGACAGTGTCTCGGGATTCCCGGGTCCCGCGCGGCCTCAGACGCTTCCAAGGCACCGCTTAAGTGGATAGTTTGTGAGGATCGCGGTTTGTAGGCTGAAGGCTTTGTAAGATGTTAAAATCCCCAAAGACATAGACTTGGTAAACTGAGGCCACCTTTGAATAAACTGGCGTTGGGGATAAGCTCCGGCAGGGAAATAAAGGATAGTCGCCACGAGTTGCATCCCCTCCCCCCCAAGAAAAAGTTCTAGAGATGAAAGTGCTTTTAGGCTTTTTTAAATTTTAAAAAAAATCAAAGGAGAAAAATGTGATTAGAGACGAATCCTACTGAATCTGAAATTGAAACACAACCTGCTCTTCTCCCAGCCTCTGGGTTTTAGGCGCAGCGCGCGCTCCCGCTGCCGCCCTGGGAGATTCCTAGGTCAGAGGATTGTCCCGGGACTGTGGGCGCCCGCCCCTTCCACTGCCCTTCGCCTGCGGGGACTGGCCCTTCTCTGTCTGCTTTTCCTATTTCTGGAGCTCCTCCCATGGGGCATTTTTAGGGTTCCAGGCATCTCAACCAAACTCTTTGCTCTTCCCACTCTTTCGCAGTCAGCCACAGCGGTGGCGCGGGAGCGGGAAAACCTTAAACCGCTCAAAAAGCGGCGCGGCTATCGCCCGGCGCAGACGGTCGCGTAGGGGCGCCCGC